GTTTTTTTAAATGTTTTTTTTTGGCCAAAAACTCCGAGTGAAGCTCAGTAGCCCAGGTATTTATAATTAAATCGGAAAACATAACGTTTAGTAATGATTTCTCAAAAATGAGATATTTTCCCGAAGTGAAAATTATCCTATTTGTTGGCCGGTTAACCAGGTATCGTTATAACAAATTTCATCAAAATCTGTCCAGTGGGTTTTCCCGTGATGCGTTTCTGCTTCCCAGATCGACAGATAAATATATTCTGGCTATTCTATAACTATTCGGCCTCTGTACCGATAATAATGTTTATTCCAATAAGATGTTCCAAAAAATATTTAAGTAATGTACAGATTCAACTTAGAATTTTATTATATGTATAGATTCATTAAAAAATAAAAAAAAAACCTGACTGCGTAAGTGCGAACCAAAAGTATGGAAACAAAAAATAGGTCGTTGTATTATGCACACAAAAACATACTTAGGTACTTACCTATACCAAATCTCGCAACAAATGTAAAATTTTATTTTACAATTTGTTATCCCAAAATTATATTTCAACATAATACATATATTATGTTGAAATATAATAATGAGATGTACCTATGGGCTATGTATATATTTTTGTTTGACTTGGCATTAAGCAATGGTTTTTTAGCCATCATAAAGAATTTTCATACATATCATGTAAAAATCACTCAAATCCTTTGCAAGCTCGATATTGCTATGTGAATAGCCGTCTTTAGATAATAACCTTATATTTTATTGAAATACTTATGGGGATTTCGTGACAGAAGTGTAAACAAGTAAAAATATTCCTAAACAGGAAAATTCGTGATCACGATTTTGTTTTGAAAATCAGTGGAAGTCGATCATATTAATCATATTCATCATTCATGAAGTCGTACCATTTATTTGTTTGTACTAAAATGCATAACTGTTCGTCAAATTGTTCTCATCTCTTTAGTGCCGCTTTTTACGCATTCAAACTTCCGATCGCTACTAAACTTTACAAGATCACCTGCTGGTCTAATCTGAAGATTTCGTGGAAATTTCATCAAAATCGCTCCAGCCAGCAACCTCCAGCTTCTTGGAGTCCATAGGGAAGTCACATCTATTTTTATATACTACATAAAGGACTACGGCTAGTTAAAAATAAGAAGAGAGAGAACAGTGAGTGTGTGTATTGTGTCGGTGTGTGTTCCTAAGATAGTATTAGCTAGAGCAATCCTATCATCTGGGTCGGTTAATACGTCTTTTGGTCGTCTATGTCGGTCTGTAATGTCACCGACAGGGTCATGGGTCGCGGGTTCGAGTCCCGCCGGGGGCATTCATTTGTGTGATGAGTACGAATGTTTGTACTCCAATCATGGGTGTTTACTGTTTATATTTATAATATGTATGTATTTAAAGTTATATATGTTTAGTATATCGACTATCTGGTATCCATAACACAAGCCTAGAAGCTTTCCATGGAACTAGATGGTGCAGTGTGTTAATGTCCCAAAATAATATTTATATTATAAGATTCGCCGCGTTGACTAATAACTGGTTAGTGTGTTGTGATACTTTTAAGAAGTTGTTAATGGATATTGTTTTCATATATCCCTAATGGTCTAACTGTAGATTTTTATGTAGGTCCGTCGTTCACATGAACCAGGGGCTGCCCGTGGCTATGTGTTTGAAACAGGTAATACGTTAGAGACAAACAAATAAGGTGGGGTTGTGCCGGGGCACATCGCCGTTGGTTTAACGTAAAACGTCTATTTCAGCGAGTCGCATTTAGTGTTAAAGATTGGAATGAAAATAAAATTGACTTCGTTCTAATTGTTTTAATACTATACTGACACTGAATAGGTAGTGTATATTTGTTACGTCTTTTTGTGCGTATTTGATAACAAATGAGTAAAAATTAAAATAGGTAGTAATTTTTGAAGATAGCAACGGAAAGAATACCATAAATATCATTTTTCTGACAATAACAACGGTTACTATGGCAACCTTTTTTTTTTTTTTTTTAACGTTGGGAAATGCATTTACGCACGACGTGTGGGACTCACCGGCGTAATACAGCCAGTACTACCCACTAAAACCCAACAAAACCTTCCCCCGTCTTAATGGGGCGTCGCAGGATCGCTTACGCATTCAACTACGACGCCCCGACGGCAGGTCTGCCGAAGCAGACCACCACACCATGGGGTTACTCCACAGTCCACTCTGCTGTCAGAGAAGTACCAGAAGCAACCCGCATGGTACACCGCCCCCCGAAGAGAGCCACCTCCCACCTCCCACCGAAGTGGGCAACCTCCCTGTGCGTTTCTTAGCTTCGCGCCCGGTTGGATTGCCGGGCACTACTGAGCCCACCACGACAAGGTGAACGCACGTTGGAGGGGACTATGGCAACCTAATGCAACTTATATCATGCAATCTATTTCGTTAAGGTCCACTTTTCTGACTGTTAACATGTTGCGATTTTCAATTACGTCAAAACAAGATAATAAGTTAATAAGTAGGATTCCCTACCAAAGTTTGTTAAGAACTTAAGACAAGTAGGCTTTTCTTGCTTTCTTGTCTTTGGTTATAATATATTTGTATTCTTCGCAAGCAGCTCTTTTTATCTGATGGATACTTGTAAAAAATAAAAAATCTAATATAACGCTCCAAATAACATCCTCTTAATAGAGGAAAGACAGATATACGGGATGTCCCAGAAAGTAGTGTCAAGCGGAAGTCCAGAGATAGAGCATCCCTTGGGGTACCCAAATCACCCCCATATAAGTTACGCAATTATTCATAGTTTTTGAGTTATGAATTTTTTTCAGAAATTTTGAGAATTTTCAAACTGAACAACTTAAAAAAGTTCTAAAAAAAGTAGAAGACTTTTTGAAGATTTTTTTTGCAACTGAATCTTTATGAGCTTATATGCTTAAAATAATTAGCTTCATAACTTTTAGGGAAATTATGACAATATGTTGGTGTAAAGTGAAAAATTTACGTTCGGTGAATGAAAGTTTCAACTTTAAATTAACAATTTAAACAGATGACTTCATGGTTCCTAAATAGGTCTCAAAAGTTTTTCAAACTCTCAACATTCATAATCATTAAAAAAATTAGTACCTACTGAATATTCTACTTTGGCTACAATCAGCGTTCAAAGATAACGTGAAAAATACTTAAAATTAGTCATAAGATTAAAAAAATTTTTTGGCCATTTTATAATTCCTAAGGTTAATTCGTTTGTTAACTAACCATAAACCAAATCATTAAAAAAACTCCAAATGTTTAAATCTTAAATTTCCTGCAGTCATTTTTGATTTATTTTATTTTTTTGGGGTGGACCACCCTTATCACTTATCACTTATGTTACTGAACATACACACGAAATTTCATAAGAATCGGTCAAGCCGTTTCGGAGGAGTTTTGTTACAAACACTGTGCCATGAGAATTTTATATATTAGATTTGAAAGGAAAATATCATTAAAAAATCAAAAGGTTTGTTTTGAGCTATGTTGGTATTAATTCTATTAAGACTTATTTGGTCTGAGGGAACCTCCTACAGGATTCTTCGTTTCTCAAACACAGATGCTTCGAAAGTCAAGTGATGGTCCACTGTGGCGGGTGGCTGCATCCCGTTGACCAATCATCATCTATGCCTCGCAGGTAGAGCTTATATCGGCTCTACCTACAAGCTAACCTTGGTCATATATTTATCACCCACTCTATCGGAAAGTCCTCGAGTGATGATTCAACCTCCTAACTGACCTTAAGGAGTGCCTGTCGGGATAAGTATCATTTGGATAGATGGTAAAGGAACTAAGGATAAGGGTACATATTTAATATGCCACAATGAGTATTGAAACCCACTGAGACTAACCGTGAATAGGTAACAAGTAACAACCAAGGTGTCGATCTATGAAGAAGCCTCTAAGAGGACCGTCAGTTTTATTTTGAAACTTGTATATAAGTGCATGTTCGCTAGAAATTTTGCTAGCGCGTTTCAGGCTTGAAACTTTGCATGGTATTTTCTTAGTTGTGATCAAAATATATGAAATTTATTTTTCAATAAACAAATTATTACTTTATTATCTTTCAGATTAGAATTACCTAAAATTATAATTATCAATAGTTTTTGAAATTTAAGGACTTTAAAAATAAATCTTCTGAGATTTCTGATTGGTTGAAAGCAATTCCGTCACAGCGAACGTCACAGGGATTCCCCGTACCGAGCTGTTATAAAAATGCGTTAACCAAACGAAATAAGGAATGTGACATTTCATGCTATACACATAAAGTATAAATTTGAATAGAATATTAGAAGTAGAGACATAGCATCAAATTCATAATAAGTACATTTATAATACAAACACAATGTAAGTTGTAAGTTGTAACGTATAACTACTAGTTTAATATTATATTATGATCTGTGGTATAACTAGCCCTGGCTTTTATTCTAAAGAACATGGGTTTTATTCCTTCAGCGTGATTGTTAATATCTTGTTTGGTCAACAAGTGTTTCTAAACACGTATGTATAGGTTTCATTACGATTGTACTTAAAATAAAGTGAGATAAATAGTTATATTTATTCGATGATATTAAGTTTATATTATCTAGTTTATGAATAAGTTTTATTTGTGTAAATTATTATCTCAGTCTAATATAAATGAGTATTTAAAAAATATCGTGACTACTATTATAAATGCGAAAGTTTGTTTGTGTCCGTATGTTTGTTACTTCTTCACGCTGAAACGGTTGGACGGATTAAGATGAAATTTAGTACACAGAGTATAATAGAGTACCTGGAGTAAAACAGGCTATAGGTAACTGTAGGAGAGATGTTGTAAGTTAAAATATTTTTACGTCTTGACTATCTGTATAGCACAGAGAATGAGTAATCAATTAAAATATAATATCTGCACATGTAATCTGAAATTTTTTAATAGGTACATATAAGCAGACTGTCTTGATTTTGCTGTCTTCGCGCTTGTACCGTAGCATTACTCGCAAAAGCTCGATCATCGCTGCCCTTTAAATTGAGCTGAAAATGATTAAATATCAAATATCTGTAACAATCTACACCAAATTTTAAGAAGGAATTACCTCTTCATTTTTAAAACAATAAGCGTTTAAAATTAATTTTAAGGAAGCGTAAAGTTAAAAAATAAATAACTAATAAACAACTGTTTCGTTTTAGTGAAATCTTTATAATTATTCTGACTATCCATCTACTTAATTGTGCATCACTTATAAATGTCTGGACAGATTTCAGTAAGGCTTTATGTTTATCGCAGTGGCGTAACAATAGGGTGGCAGAGAGTGTAAAATTACTCGAGGAGGGCCCCTGCCCTAGAAGCCGTGAGCACATGAAAAACCAAAAATTTAATATAATATTTAGTAAAAAATATTAATTTTGTATTTAATCAATATATTTTTGGTATTCGTATACTCAAGACTTGGCCTTTGTTCCAGCCACGCTATAGGGAACTTAGACAAGATGTCATTCTACAATAGTAGAAGATTGGAACTTCATAGAATAAACTTGTCATATCCAAAAAAAATATATGTTATGTTGGGACATTAACACACACCACCATCTAGTTCCATGGTAAGCTACGAGGCTTGTGTTATGGATACCAGATAGTTGATACACTACACATATATAAACTTTAAATACATACATATTATAAATATAAACACCCATGACTAGAGTACAAACATTCGTGCTCATCACACAAATGAATGCCCACAGCGGGACTCGAACCCGCGACCGCTGGCACATCAAGTAGGGTCACTACACACTGAGCCAAACGTGTCGTCATAATAATATTTCCATCATCGAACAACGACTGTAGAGTGATTTTTTTCTAAGCGCCTAGATTAGGCAAATAGCAAAGCTACAGGACCTGGTTTGGTCTGTAAATTATAGTTTATGATTTATAAAATATATTACTTACGACATTCTTCATAAGGTACACAAATTCCATCATTTCTATAGAAACCTTCGATACATCTACATGAAGGAGTGCAGCTCAGAACGAAAAGTATAGGGCAGGTTACATCAAGTAAAGCATTACTGCAGTCGTCAGTTGGGCAGGAAGGCGGGCATGGGTTATAAATTTCATTCTCGGGGCATTCGAATGGAGCTAAAAAAAAAGATGTACTAAGTACTTTTAAAATGTTTAACTTTATATTATATTTAGTGTTACTTAGTATAAATTAATATTCCTATCGCTCTATATAATTAACTAGTATTGCCCGCTGCTTCGCCCGCGTTCAGATGACCAAAAACCAAATTCTTAGGTTTTACATATTAGTAAACTCTTACATTGCAGTTTTTGTATTTTTTCTCAGAAATGAGACACTTTCCCGCGGTAAAAAGTATCCTATATGTTGACCCGGATAACCAGCTATCATCATATGAAATTTCATCAAAATCCCTCCAGTGATTTTTCTGTGACGCGGTAACAGACAGACAGAGAGACAAAAATTCTAAAAACTATAGATTCGGCCGATAATAATGTCTATTTCAATAAGATTTTTCAAAAAATATTTAATGTACAGATTCGGCTTAGTTACAATTTTATTATATGTATAGATTACATTTGTCATTATAATCGCATACTTTCACTAAGTATTTGTATAAAATTATATTCAAGTTTTAAGTTACTAACAATGCATTTTGCGGTTAATTCAAAATTAATAGTAATTCGTAATTATTTATACATATTAATTGTGTGGTAGAAGTAAAAAAGTATCTTTTATCTCTAACTTATTAAAATGAAAAGGGTCAGAAATTTTTTATATGTAAGTGGACGTTAGCCACACGCTGTCAATTTCCTCCAATGTTAAAAAAATATAGTTCGGAGATTATCTTATAAATTATAATATAAAACGAAGTCGGGTTTGATACAATACTTATAACTCGAGAACTGCTGGACCGGTTTTTATGATGTTTGTTTTGTTGGATTTGTCTTCACCCCGAATAGCGGAATAACTATTAAAACTTCGGAAAAAATGAAAAAAAATGTTATGGAATATATATTTTTTTTCATTTTTTTCCGTCAAGCGTCAAAACGTACCTACGGAAGAACCTGAGCGTAGGAAGGGTGATTCGCTAGTTCTGAATAAATTCATTATACTAGGTACTTAGTTCTCTACACGTAGAGCTATTATAGAAATATACAAGCAACTAATGATAATACAAACCACTTTAATATTTTTTGTAGGTATCTGGTACCTACTATACTATAATATCATTGATAAAAATGTTTTATAACTTTAAAGAAAAAATTGACCCCAGTCTTCATAAATTAAAGAACTCCACAGCGCTGAGTTGTCTTTGTTTGGACTAATCTCATAAGCTAATGTTTCTTACTACACCTTTTTCTACAGTAACAAGGATTACTGAGCATGGTTTTAAGCTATATATAATTAAATAATCTCGTGGCTAGCATGTCAGCTGCACACTCGGAGGTCCTGGGTTCGAGTCCCGGGTCGGGCCAAGTTTAGTTATTAAGTCTTTCTGTATAGTAAGTCTCAGTAACAGCCCGGAGTTGGGAAGTTGGCAGTGTTTCACCCCCGTGCCACGGAGATCACGTAAAGCCGTCGGTCCTGCGCCTTAACTTTCACTGGTCGTGTCGAGCAGTCGTCCCACCGGAGTATGAGAGTGACAGGAATAGAGAGTGCACTTGGGTCTGCGCGTACTCTTGCGCACTATAATATCTCCTGCGCAGTTGGCTAGTCTCAATGAGATTGGCCGCCGTGGCCGGAATCGGCTAGGAGAACATCATAATTAAATAATACAACATATTTTTTAGTGTAATAGGTAATTAATAGGACGGTAATTATATTTGCATTACATTACCGTGTTAAAAGGTAACGAACACCGAACCTAAAATTATTTGCCTAATTACATGGAGTGTAATAATATTCCATGAAAATAATGTTTGCCACGCTTTATATATAAAAATGTTTTGTAAGTTAAATCAATAAATGGATAAATCTATTTTCCATGCATATAATTAAATTGAAAATAAAGATAACTTAGGCCAGTTTTTAGTAATTCCTATTAACTATAAAATATTATTTGCCATATAATAAATAATCTTATTTATTAGACTATTATTTAATTGCGAAAGTTTATGCATGCATATGTTTGTTACTTGTCCCCGCCAAAATGGATTACCCATTTTGCCTAATAATACAAATGTGAAAGTGTGTTTGTTTGTTTGTTTGTTTGTTTGTTTGTTTGTTTGTTTGTTTGTTTGTTTGTTTGTTTGTCTTTCTTTCACGTCGAAAAAGAATGACGGAAAGGAGTGACTTTTTGTGTGAAGATAGTTTAAGGGCTGGAGAGTGACATAGCCTACTTTTTATCGCGGGAGATTATCTCATTCCCACGGAAAAACACGTTATAATGCAACCCAAAAAATAATTTAGGATCAGAATTACTTGAAACTTGGTATTATGGCTCTTCAATTCGATTAAAATTAAATAAGTACGTGTTTTTTGTATTTTTTCTCAGAAATGAGACATTTTCCTGTGGTAATTAGTATCCTATATGTTGACCTGGATAACCAGCTATCACCATACCAAATTTTACCAAAATGCCTCCAGTGGTTTCTCTGTGATGCGGTAACAGACAGACAGACACACAAAAATTCTAAAAACTATAGATTCGGCCTCTGTATCGATAATAATGTTTATTTCAATAAGATTTTCCAAAAAATATTTAATGTACAGATTCGGCTTAGTTACAAATTTTATTATATGCATAGATTATCATAGTTGTTAATGCATTTTGCCCGAAGCTTAGCAGTAAGTATGTTACATCAATAAAAAAAAAAGTATGTGTATCAAATAAAAAAAACAACAGCTCTATTGGCCATAAATGTAAAAAATATAAATATATATAACTTACGGCAGTCCGTTGTAGGTATACAGGTTCCATTAGAAGCTCGGCGATAATTGAACGAGCACTTACAGGCAGGCGGTGGACAGTCACCAGACTTATCGCAGGGAGCTTCGTCAGAGAAGCGGTCTTTCGGACAATTATCGTAACTGCAATTCCGTGAACAATTTTCCAATACTTCGTTCGAACCACATGTTTCTTCTGCTAAGAAAAACACTTAAATATTAATAATTTTACAAGTTCATTTAATGTTTAGTAATAATAAAGTTACTCTATAAAATTTATTTATTGAACGTTAGTTTTATCTGCATTCCAATTTAACTAATATAATATATTGAATTAAACTTATAAATAAATTGCATATTTAAATGTATGATTAAAATACCATCTAAACTACTTGCTATCTTTCCTTGGTTGTACTCGTATTTATCTAAAATAATATTTACAACTTACCTGAAGACACGCTAATTAAAAGTGATAAGAGGACGTTAATGATCAAAACACACATCATCTCTAACAAGTATATAGCGATGGATGGATGCTGGAAAATGTTAACTGATTAGAGTACGAAGCTATGGCTTATATATATATAATTTTTCTTAGTTTTAGTTACTAGCGCCACCTAGTTGCTCAACTATCAACAAAGTAAATAAAATAGAGCGAGTACAAATTCTAAGCAACTGTTTTCAACGTAGTGCTGCTGTAGATCAACAGATGCCACCTCACGAACATTTAGAATTTAGACGGTAAATGTATAAGAAAATCCTTAAAAAATATTAAAATACGTGGCGTAAATCGACTTTCTGGTGGCTGTTACGGAGTCCTTTTATACTTACGAGTTTACTCTTTTTCGAGAAAAACGTAATTAAGAGAGTTTCTCTACATATATATATCTACATGTATATATACTTGTTGTATTGTTGCGATATTTTAGCTGGTAATTTAATTTTTTACTGAAAAGACCAAGGTCATATATGAAAAAACAGTCCACTAAGGATAGAATAATTATTTTTATGTTAAAAGAACTTTAATATAAAGAGTAATAATTTTGTCTACGGCATGAGCTGCTTTAATAGTATATCAGATTCCCAACAATTATTTTCATCGTAAAATAAGATAGAGTATAATTTGATAATGATTTTTTATATAAACTACTTACTGAAAGAAAATGATATCTTTTTCCATTACGGTCTCATTTCTTCACTTCGAGCGAAAAAATGATAAAGGGGCACATTTTTTGATACGATTTTCTTCTTGATCGTGTGAAGAAGACAAGATATTATGTAGACGTGATCAGTTTTGCTTCTAAATAGCTTCATAGTCCGAAGCTACGGATGTATCATAGATTTTTGTAATAAACGCTTACTTATATGATAAGTTTTTTGAAGTAGAATTTTTTTTGACAAAATTTTTAATACAAAAATATACTTCTCATCTTTTTCATGCAGATATGAAGCAACTAATCATGGCAATTATTCTCATAGAGATAGTTTATGGGCCAAACATAACATAGGCAACAGCTCTTGTCACGTCATATAGTTTCCATGGGTAATTTATTAGTAGCAAAAAGTAACTTAGGGAAGCGCTTGTGCAATACATATATATTATAAATATAAACACCCATGACTGGAGTACAAACATTCGTGCTCGTCACACAAATGTATGCCCCCAGCGGGACTTGAACCCGCGACCGCTGGCACAGAAAGTAGGGTCACTACAAACTGAGTCAAACGAGTAGTGAAGTAAGAAGTGCGTGTCATTTAGAAAACATTATTAATGTTGTTACGTTTATAGAAAAACAATTCTACATATGTGTTATTGAACCTTGGGGCAATATTGACAAACACGCAAGCGACTTTGAACTGAAAAATACAACATTTTTTCTAAAACAAAGTAGTTCAAGGTGCCCCATACACTCATCACAAAGATTATATGACACATCAGCAGCGCGGCCCGAGGTTCTACGCACGTTTATTTTTTTATGTATACACAGAATTATACATATTTATGTCTCTAGCAGCAAAAACAGGACTTTCATATTACCTTACCTAGCTTTTAGACCTCTAACATTGGCGCTGTCCGAAATTCGATGAACCTGCAAAATTTCAGCCTTATAGGTCAAGTAGGTAATGATCATTCGCTTTTATATATACTAGCAGCTCACCCTTGCTTCGCTCGGATTCACCTCTAGAAAAAACAAAACAAATCTTTCCCACGGGAACTGTATATTTTTCCGGGATAAAAAGCTATTATAGATAGCCTATGTGCTATTCCAGACTATAATCTATCTCTGTGCTAAATTTCAGCTATACTAGGTTTCCTTGTCTATTTATGTATAACTGTTTCTAGGTACTTAAAGTTATTTTGAATCGTAACGTGATATTATATAGTCAATAACCTTCCCCAAGAATGGGATCATCAAATGATTTTTCAAATCTGACGAGTAGGTTCAAAGATTAGCGCGTTCAAAAAATAAACAAACAAAGTTCAGGTTTATTATATTAATATAAATATTATTTAGAAAAGTACAAAACTTTATAGACATAGCCGAACAGATGCGTAGAACTGTAACATACGTATATAATGCACGTAGTATGTAGAACTGTTTGGTGGCCTCTCGTACAGGTGTATTTTTTTAAAAACAACAGCTTTGGTTTCAGAAATTAAGCAAAAATTATTTGAATTTTTAAAACCCATTTAAAGATTTTACCTAAATTGTCCCCTTTTAGTATTTTCACTTACTTACCTTTAGTTTCGCCATACCTTGATAATATACCTATATGTAGATAACATGTAAGTAGAATAAATAATAATATTAATAAATAATTAATATCCAAAAACCACCTAAATAGATATTTATTTATAAAAAAATATCTATTAAGATTTAAATTTCTGACGTATACTTTATTATTATTCCGAATGACGTGCCACCATTCTTCTTTATGTTGGAGTAAATATTTACTTTTTTATATACATAATTAGCTGCCTATGGTTATATTCTCAAGTAAATAGATGCTAATTGCTAATAATATTTACGTAAATAAGTTATTTTATGACGATAATTGAGCATATAATTTCTGTTGAGAACAGATATTTATGGAAATACTAGCATTGCCTGCGGCTCCGCCCGCGTTCAGATGACCGAAAACCAAATTGTTAGATTTTACATATTAGTATACTCTTACAATGCAGTTTTTGTATTTTTTCTAAGAAATGAAATCCCGCTGTAAAAAGTATCCTATATGTTGACCCGGATAACCGGCTATCATCATACCAAATTTCATCAAAATCTGTCTAGTGGTTTTCTCGTGATGCGGTAACAGACAGACAGACAGACAGACAAAAATTCTAAAAACTATAGATTCGGATTCTGTATCGATAATAATGTCTATTTTAATTAGATTTTCCAAAAAATATTTTATGTACAGATTCGACTTAGTTAGAATTTTATTATATGTATAGATTATGTAAATTAAATTAGTGTAAATATTTTATATGAAATATCTTTATTCATAATTATGATCTTTTAAATTAGATATGTTTATAAAAAATTAGCTTCAAACATATTTTTTTTATAACAACCCACAAATAGAACATTATTTTTTAACCGACTTCAAAATAGTAGGTTCTCACATCGGATGTTTATTTTTTTTATATTCGGGCATAACTCCGTCATATATTAGACGGATTTGCAAAATTATTTGTTTGTTCGAAAGAGGTTTGCCAGAAATGTATCTATAGTAAATGAAAACCGTCATCCAGTTATTTTTACTTTTTAGTGTTTTTTTGAAGTCGCTTTTAATTATTTTTTGTTCTAATACAAAAGATTTTTGTATTCGTTTCTTTAAGAAAATGGCACATATAAAAATAATGTATAGTCAAATATAAAGGCTTAGGTCACATAAATGGAAAATTACATATCACCAGGCACTCACCCTTATTACTGATTATAAAATTATAATATTAAATTAATATAGATATTTAATTAATATATTCAAATCCCGGATATCGCACGTCTGATATTTTCATGTGCGAATCATTACCACTTGTCTTACGGTGACGGAAAACATCCTGAGAAAACCCGAACATAGAAAGAAAATAACGAAAATTGCTCTGAAACCCGTATATCTCTGAGAGAACCTAGCAAGTTTTCGAAACACATGTAAAGTCTGCCAGCCTACACTTGCCAGCGTCGTGAACTCTGGTCTGATCCCCCTCGTATTGAAGTGAGGCCCGTGCCCAGCAGTGGGACGTTAAAAAGGGTTGAATACATACATACATATATGAATTATATATTTCTGTCTAAAATATCATTCATATTTGACGCAATGTTGATTTCATTTTACGTTTGAGTAAACATTTGAAATTCAGGTAATGAAGTATACCGTCAAACAATGGATGTATGAACAGCTTTTTCGGTTCTGTTTGCTTTACGCGAATTTATAATATCAGGCCTCTCTCTTTTGTTTTCAGAAGTAGACTAAAGTGATTGGCGGCGGACGAAAATGAAATTTTTAAGTGTGTTTTGTGTTGTGCTATGCGTCCGGTCTGGAGGTTTGTAAAAATACTTAAATTTTGAGAATCAGTTCCTTATCTATTATATTATTATTAGCACACTTACAAGAACTAACAAGTAATTTTGTACCTATAGTTATTTAACTTTTCTAAAATAACAAAATTTTACTAAGAAGTTTTTCTAGATATTGTTTGTGTACATTATTTTTATTATTGTGTATTTTTAGAGAATATAATTTATTCACATTTTAATTTTAGCTTTTTTGCATATACAAAATAATGTTCCGCACATTGACTACCAAAATCAAGAGGCTATCCAATTAAGTGCTCATAGGAACACTGAAATTCCTTTAAATAGCCCTTACGATGACAGGTTTCGTCAGAATCAGCCTATTGAAAGATTTAGTGAGCCCTTGAAACCACAGCAAAATGTACGATTTGAATCACAAAGAATTTCTCCTGAATACATAAATTCGCAACAAATCAAAAATACCAATGAACAGCTTTTAAATGAAGAACATCATCCCGGTAACCAAGGTGTGCAAGTAATGCATACAAGTCCATATTTTCAAGATAAAACACATCCTAAATATATAAATCCTCCAGTTAGAAGATTCATTGAAGCACAATCTAACCCAAAAGATGTTTCTAAATCCACATTAGAAAATACAAGATTAGAATCGCAACGAATTTCCCCAAAACACTTAAATTGGCAACAAATAAAGAACACTAATGAACAGTTAATTAATCAAGAAGATAGTATCAATCAAAGAGGTCAATATGTTCAACATCAAACACATCCCGATCACATACTTTCAGAATCTAAAACATTTAATGAAGCACAACATATTCCAGAAGAAAACATTTCCGGAAGTAAATTACAATTTTCAGATATACATGAGACAGGCAATAGACATAATGTGCTTTCTCTGAAACCTGTTGATATAGGATCAGTGTTTACTGTTTCTAAAAATATAAATACACCGCGAATTAAGCATCTTAATGAGGTGCAACTTATGCCAATGGAAGACACAAAGTTAGAAATGCAAGCAGTTTCTCCTGAATATATAAAGTCATTAATTAACGAAGATAACCCTGAACTAAAGGCTAAATTATCATTGACAAGTCCATATGAGAAAGTAAACAGCGCTAAAGTTGTTAAATATTTAGATAATAAACAATTTCATACGAAAAATCACTTTGAAGAAGACGAAGCAACATATGAAAATCCTTCTGCGGAAGTTTTATATAGCACACAGCAAGCTTTACCTTATGAAATAGAAGGGCAACAGCTTCCAAACATATCTCAAGGTGAATTTCAATTTTTGATTTTGTAACTTTTAAATTCTACAATAATAGTAAAATCACTGTATATACTCAATATAAATCAACATTTATTAAATGAATAAAGCTATTTTAAATAATATTTTTTGTAAAATAGTTATAAATATTTATTTTATATTTTTAGGTGGCACTAATTTTTATAATAATATAGATATTCTGAAATTAATGCAGCCATCAAAGCGTTACATGGTTATCCATCCTGACGGAAGAGTAGAACACATTGATGAAATTGAAAAAATCACTAAAATACATCCTAATTATGTGATGATTGAATCACAAGATTTTTTAAAACGTGTAGAAGGTAAAGGCGACATTTCAGGTTTACAAATATCTCAATTATTTGTTAATAATTCACATGATGCAATAGTTAATCAAAAACATAATCAAGCACCCCATCACCTGGCTGATATACCCTCAGGTCAAAAATCACCTCTACAATTCGTCAATAACTTATTACATACGACAGATACTGATTCTTTAGAAAAATTAATAGTGTCCAATGAACCGAATGTCCATCCAACGCAAGTAAAGACGGCTAAAGTATATTCACCAGAAAACAATAATCAACACGACGACAATCAACTTTTGAATAAAGAAATTCTGCATCGATCAAGTAGCTTAGTACCAGAAATTGAAAAGCATGAGAAAAATATTAAAAACGAACAAACTATAACACAGTCTACACCTATCGTAAAAGAAAACGAATTTAAAAGTATCGAGTTAACGTCTGTAAGTCCGAGTGATATGCAGCAAATTCAAACTAATAATGAACAACAAATATCTACATATGAGTCAGCACTTTTGCCAAGTAGTACAATAGCAACTCTTTCTGAAAAAAATAACGATAATTTCAATAAAACGGTCATAAAAAAAGTAAATATAACGGAAAATACGACATCACCATTTATATATTTGCCTTTAAAAGATAATTTGCCTACTTCGCCCCATGAGCGTCAAATTATACTAAATGAAGAAAGTGGAAAATATAACTTAAACACTTTACTAGTGCCTAAAACGTCTATGTCAACACCAGCAATCATTACTGAAAAAAACATAAAAAATATGAACGAAATAGCACCGTATCAAAATAGCACCGAACCGCTTCAAAATAGTACTGTCACTATGTTAAACACTACAGTAACAAATACTACTCAAGTATTTTATACAAATCACGAAACATTACAAAATAAAAATCACGAGTTATCAGATACCTCATCTACAATAACAAGACCTGAAATTGGTGTAATATCAATAAATACAACTGTAACTTCTGTATCCATTCCGAATAAAACTTCGTTGTCTTCAAATGTTCAGGAAGAGAACACAAATAAAAATAATACGAATATAATGCAAACTTTAAATATAACTTGTAAGTATGTTGAATTTTATTTTAGTAAATATTTATTTTTAAATATACGTTCTCATCAAATATAAAAGCTTAGTTCACATAAATACAGCATATTACAGTAGATATTTAATTAATATATTGGAAACTTTTTAAGAAATATCCGATTTTCATTTTATAAACATAAAATAGATAATAAGTACTTAAATATTTTTCAGCACCTTCTACTACATCATTATCAAATACAGAAAATACGACGAACAACACTGGCTTTTGGTTTCATGCAGATGAACAATTTTGGCATAACATTATGAGCAATAATGATACTCAAAATCTCTTTTACTTCTTCTTTGTTCCGCCAAAATCTAATATTATGCAAAAGGAAACGAAAACAACATTATATCCTAATGGCACTACAGTTGAAGAAGTTATTGAAACAATCGATGAAGGTAAGGATTCGTGATTTTTTCTTTTGTCTTCCGCCTTCATATACTTTGCTTATGAATTCTTTCGTAATAGAATTATTTGTCTTTCAAAATGTCAGACTTTGGCTGAGACATCGATAGAGTAAGCAGCTACTTAAATATAGACTGTTTGGTTATAAGGGTGAATTTTTAAAATTGCTTAGGAGAAAAATATCTTAAAAAAAATTATTTACAATAAAGAAAATTACAAATATACTTAATTATATATACAAAACAAATGTACACTTAGTTATTACTGTACAAGTCATGTCCGCGTGGAATAGTGGCAAGAATGCTAGCCGCATTCCCCCGTTAAATGGCAATGCAACGGAAAAAAATTAAGTTTATAAGATTGATGATGACATATTACCTCAAGAAAAGGAGGGCTTTTTTATTATATAGGTAACATTGAGATTAAACTAATTATTGATTAGATTAGCGTTAGATAATTATGTTAAAATGATAATCATTAATGTAAGTTTAATTATTACAGATGGTGTGCCCAGAGTAATACGAACAACAAAGGTGTTTTTAAATAGCACGAGCTCAGATGTATGATTTATTACAAACATGATGTCATACCATATGGGATTACAATATAAATCTTTAAGTTTAAAATAAATCTACATTTTACGAAACTTTTACTAACGAAATAGAGCCTGCGGGCTTTCAGGCATACATTTTCATTTAGATAATATTGGACAATGGTTTTTTCATGACAGCGCGTAGAGTAATAAAAAAATATATAAGTAGAGTTCAAAATAATCACCTAAAAATAAAGTAACATCTTAAATAACTTTGTCAAGGAATATAGAAGCAAGAACAGTATTCTCGAGACATTGTAAGTGTATACGTACATGGTAAGGGTGTATTTTAATAAGAATTTTGTAATGGCTTGGAAAACCTAAGTATATATGTATACTATAAATACATATTTAATTACCTGCTACGAGTTTTTGTTAAAAGTGAAAAGTTAGTCTCTATATAACTCACTCTAGTAAATAAAGTATTATCCTTATATTAATATCATAGGTAAATCAGAAAATATAATTTCCATTATAATATCATGAGCGTATTTTTATACGTAATACGCATTGTTAGTTCAAATAACACTTGTTCAAACAAGAGAAGTGTTAAGTCCCTTTACTTCTTTAGAAATAAAGTTTTAAGTTAAGAATTTATCAAACGATTCGGTTTATCTAGTATTTTTACTAGTAGTAATTATTATTGTATTTTAAACAGTATCTAAAAAGTTGTAGAGGTCAAATGCCTGTAAAAATGCTAAAAACCGAGTCAGAGGGATGTATGAAGAGAAATAGAACAAATCCAGATTTTTTTGTTTCTGTCTGTTTGTCTGTTTGTACGGACTAATCTCCGAAACTGTTGGACAGATTTAAGTGAAATTTTGTATGGTGGTACCTTATATACCCCGGTCAAAATTTTAGATATTCTTCATCCCGGAAATTAAAGAGTTCCCGTGGGATAGTTAAAAAGCTATAGTAACTGATACAGCTTAGTACACACAAAAATTACTGAAATTTTACAATGATTTAGTTCATACATCATAATAATAAATAGGCTACTTTTTATCCCGGAGAAATGTACCGTTTCCGTGGGATAGATCTGTTTTTGTTTGTAAATATATCATATGTCATAGTGTGTAAATAAAGTAATAAAAGCTTAAAGTAGGCGCTGATCGTGTGCCAAAAGATATTTACATACATATTACAACATATACTAGAGACCCTACTTCACTTCAGACAAACAGTATGCCTATATGTTACTCCAGGTCATTTAGATCAGGTCTTCAGTCTATCTATATAATAAATTTCATCCAAATTCGTCATGGCCTTTTAGCGTAGGAGTAACAAACACACACACACATTTATATACATATATGTACATATTTCACAATTATTAATATTATAAGTCTAATTATTATTATTATTAGTATTATAAATAAATAAATGGATATTAAAATTGTAACATGCTGCCCTTGCAGGTATAGACATGATCATTGTACAAGCAAATAGATAAAAGTATTCAAAAGTGTGTTGTACTTTTCTTTTATATACCGAATAACTATAATATGACAAAGTATATTGAAAAAATATTCCACCTATATAAGAGATAACCTTAACAGTATATATATTTCACATCCAAAAGAATTATTTCATAATAAATATCTGATATTTAATAAAATAGAGGCTAGAAGAAAATGTAAGACAACTTGGCAAATCCTTTCTGAGATAAAATAAGTTGCTGTGTAGGACTGACGATAAATTATATGGCTCGTGCTTGTTGAATGGCTGTCTTAGGTAACAAGGAGAAGGCGGGTCGGTTATATTGCAGTGTCACGCGATAATCAGCCGGGAACGTTTCCTTTAACGCCAAATATAAAGAAAATAAATCTATTGCAAAGCCTACCCAATAAATTGCCTGAAAATCGAAAAAATTCAGGATATTATGTAAAAAATAAATCTATTTAATATCTTGTACTTCGATTTTAGGCAATTCATAATCAATTACTTTATAATATACTAGCGACTCACCCTCTCTTGGCTCGGGTTCGTCCCTAGCTTGATTCCCCATATAAACTTTCATCCTCCTTATTTACCCCCTTAAGGTATGATTTCCGGGATAAAATGTATCCTAAGTCCTTCCTAGGGTCTCAAAATATCTTCTTAGTAAATTTCATGTAAATTGGTTCAATAGTTCCAGAGATTACTCCCTACAACGTCGCAAACTCACAATCTCACAAACTTTACCTCTTCATAATATTAGTATAGATTAGTATAGATGAAAAACATATTATATCTGTCTGTTTGTCTAGAATAGGGAAGTTATTTGTAGCAAAAGATAACTCTTGAAATTGTAGGCCCAAGTGCGGTTCACAATCAAAGTTCAATTAAGAGAACCTTTATAGGCTAATAAGACCTCTACTATTTCAAATGATGTCTTAATTAACGTATATTTTATTAACTCATAACTAAAGGTTTATGACACTATATGTGCTGTGATATATTTCTTTCCCTAAAATTGAAATGGCCTTTAGACCATTTTAAGAATGATTTTTATCCTTTACATATGTGATAACCTAAACCCAATACCAAATTTTTATTAAGGATTTCGAATGTTTAATGGCAGGATAAAATGGCAGGATTTTACCAATGCTACAAATGTTTTATTTTCATAATAATAACACAATCTATATATATAAAAGAAAGTCGTGTTAGTTACACTATTTATAACTCCAGAACGGCTGAACCGATTTGGCTGAAAATTGGCGGGGAGGTAGCTTAGAACCCAGTGACGGACATAGGATACTTTTTATCCCGTTCGACTGCGTTCCCGTGTGATATTGTTTGTCTGTTTGTCTGTTTGTACGGGCTAATCTCCGAATCTATTGGACCGATTTAAATGAAATTTTGCATGGTAGTACCTTATATCCCCGGACAACGTCTTAGATATTTTTTATCCCGGAAAATATAATGGTTCCCGTGGGATAGTTAAAAAACTATTATAACTTATACAACTTATGCACCTAATTTAGTAAAATTTAACATTCTGATACCTTATATTGCCGGTCAAACAACCGGTTACTTTTCATCCGGGAAAAATGAACGGTTCCCGTGGGAACTAATAGATTTTTATTAGTGTTTATCTAGAGGCGAACCCGAGCGAAGCGAGGGTGAGCCGCTAGTAATTTATAAAATTTAATCAAAATAAGTCGATTATCGAATTTTAATTACTAAACGATATTTTCATTAATCGGACCTCAAAAATGAGGTATTTTGTTGTCCCTACTTGCTGTGCCAGCGGTCGCGGGTTCGAGTCCCGCTGGGGGCATTCGTTTGTGTGATGAGCACGAATGTTTGTATCCAGTTATGGATGTTTATATTTATAATATGTATGTGTTTAAAGTTATATATGTGTAGTGTATCAATTATCTGGTATCCATAACACAGGCCTCGTAGCTTACCACGGAACTAGATGGTGTTGTGTGTTAATGTCTCAACATATTTTTTTTATCATCATACCCAATTTCATCAAAATGCCCCCCAGTGGTTTTGCCGTGATGCGGTCACAGATAGACAGACAAATTAAAATTCTGAAAACTATAGATTTGGCGTCTGTATCGATAATAATGTCTATTTCAACAAGATTTTCCAAAAAATATTTAATGTGAATATTCGGCTTAGTTACAATTTTATTATACGTAAGGATTATTATCATGCATCGATTAATAATATGAATAATTAATTATTATTTATTATGGTGACAATTATTACGGCTATTAACAATTATAACAGTTTTAAATTTAAGTGAAAATAATCAATAATTTGCGGCTATAGATTAATTTAATCTTTAATAATTTTCAATATTTATGTTACGATAATAATTATAATACACGGAACTTTACTTACTACTTACTTTAAAGTATACATTAATTTTTTATTTCAAAAGGGCAAAGTTGAAGAAACTCCACTTGACCACGTATTAAGAAAAGGTTTTGGTTGTCCCTGGTGTATTAAGTATATGAGGTTTGTTCACATACTTCGAAAAGATTTTGAATAAAACTCTTCACAAATAGTGTTAAGAATATTTTTAATGGGCTGTCTTCTTGTGAATATCTAATACTAATATTATAAAGAGGTAAAGATTGTAAGTTTGTGAGTTTGTTTGTAGGAAGTAGTCTGAGGAATTACTCAACCGATTTAGATGAAATTTGCTATGAAGATAGTTTGAAATACTGGGAAGGACATACAATACTTTTTATTCTGGAAACCATCCCCGAAAGGGAGTGAAAATGGGGATGAAACTTTGTATTGGCAAGCAAGATAGGGACGAACCGAACCAAGCGAGGGTGAGTCGCTAGTAAATAATAATATAATTATTTACATTTGTTCCATTAGGTGTGTGCCCGTTGATTCATGTCCTAATGACATGAGATGTCATAAATCTTAATATATAAAATTCCTGTGATGTCAGTCTATGATGAACTCCGAAACTATTTATGGGATGAACTTTTATGGGATCCTAACGTATTTTTTTCAAAATGTGTGATTTGTTCCAATTTAAAAGATGGACAGTTTTTATATCGATTATTTCCTATTTTTATTATACATACATACATAACTCTATGTATGTACATATTCATATTATATTACATTATATACATTTTAAAACTGATTGATGAGTGATTAAAACACCGGTTTCATTTAGTTTAATCTGTTTCAAATAAGAATTTAAAAAATTACAAAACAAAACAAAGAAAAAAAAGTTTTTTTTTTTAATTAGATATTATTTTGTTTATAGCTATAAATCTGCAAATCGTATCGGGAAATAAATTTTGTTTAATGCTTTGATTTATGGAAACGTCACGAAAGCCATTGTTTTTGTTTAACTATCGCTGTTCGTGTCCTGTTTCCGAAGAGCGATAAAATTCCTTTACATTTCACATTCACTGGTAACAATTCAATTGCGCGTTTCAAATATCTAAAGGTATATTTATGATTGATCTTTCGCAAATAACCTTATCTATACATAGAATA